CAGGCACATGCGCCAGTTAATCGGACATCATAAAGTAGACGAGGTAGTGCTGAAACAGATGTGGTTGCAACGTTTACCTAGAAATGTCCAGCAAATTTTAATCATCTCAGGAAAGTCGTATGACTTAGACCAACTAAGTGACATGGCAGATAGTATTATGGATGTTTTATCCGATAACACCATAAGTCACGTAGCATCTGATAGTGCCACACCGTGTCATTCCACACCCACGGCAGACACACCGATACTCGCCGCCATTGCAGACTTAGCGGCAAGGATTGACAAGTTGGAAACTAATAGGTCTGATCGACGAGTCCGGAGACGGAGTTCACAAAGAAGGTCACCATCACGACGACGATCCTTCTCACGACAGCGTTCTTACACGTCTTCTCGGGATAGCAATATATGCTGGTATCACTGGAAGTTTGGACGTCATGCCCTGAAATGTGTAAAACCGTGCAGCTTTAGCGAAGCCAACCAGGCTCAGGGAAACGCCTCAGCCAGACAGTGATGGCGACAGCTGTTACTGGCAAGCAAACAAGTCGCCTCTTCTATGTGAAGGATAAAACTTCAGACACTTTATTCCTGGTAGACACGGGAGCAGAAGTTAGCGTAATCCCTCCTTCACTATCCAGGCGATCTACACGGACACCCGGAAAACTGTCTCTCCGGGCAGCTAACCACACAAGCATACAGACGTATGGAGAGCAATCCCTCATACTGGATCTAGGTTTACGTCGGCGTTTCACATGGATTTTCATAGTAGCCGACGTCAGTCACGCCATCCTCGGAGCAGATTTCTTGAGTAATTTCAACCTGTTAGTTGACGTCAACAATAAAAAACTGATTGATAACAACACCCATCTAAAGATCCATGGAATTATCTCCAGCTATTCTGTCTATAATATCAGTATTGAAAGACCAGCAGATTGCCCTTTTTCCTCCCTACTTCACCGTTTCCCTAAAATTCTTAAGCCGTCGTACAACATCGAGGACGTCCCTCACACAGTTACTCACAAGATAGTTACTACGGGTCAACCAGTTCGTGCTCGTCCTCGTAGATTACCCCCGGACAAATTGGCAGCAGCCAAGGCAGAATTTGAACACATGATGCAGCTCGGCATCATCAGACCCTCCAATAGTCCTTGGTCTTCGCCCTTACACATGGTGCCTAAAGCTGATCATGATTGGAGGCCATGTGGGGATTACCGACATTTAAACAATGCCACAGTTCCCGACCGTTATCCTATTCCTCATCTTCATGATTTCTCCCTGACATTACACGGAAAAACCATTTTTTCTAAAGTAGACTTGGTCAGGGCCTATCACCAAATACCAGTTGCCCAAGAGGATATCGAAAAAACGGCCATCATCACACCTTTCGGTTTGTTTGAATTTCTCCGCATGCCATTTGGCCTAAAGAACGCAGCACAATCCTTCCAACGTTTCATGGATCAGGTCACACAAGGTTTGGACTTTGTATTTGTATATATCGATGACGTTTTAATTGCTAGCTCGTCGCCCGAAGAACATACTGATCACCTCACCATCTTATTTCAACGATTTGAGCAATATGGAGTCGTCATTAACCCCAAAAAGTGCATATTCGGTGTCTCCTCTATACAGTTTCTGGGACACCACATAACCGCGAATGGTATTACGCCTACGGAGGAAAAGATAGAGTCCATCAAAAACTTCCCCGAACCAGATTCACTCAAGAAGGTCAGACGTTTTTTGGGGATGTTTAATTTCTATCGGCGTTTCATTCCTTCGTGTGCCTCCATCGTCCAGCCGTTAACCGACCTCCTTAAAAATGATCCTAAAAAGTTTCAGTGGTCAGCTGAAGCACACGAATCATTTTGCAACGCAAAAGATGCCTTATCCAAAGTCACTATGCTATCCCATATCAACCCCGAAGCGTCGCTTATTTTGTGCACAGATGCCTCCCAAGTAGCTGTAGGGGCAGTATTACAACAAAAGATGAAGGGCGAAGTCACCCCACTCGCATTCTTTTCTAAGAAGTTGGAACCGGCTCAGACACGATACAGCACTTTTGGGAGAGAATTGCTGGCCATATATCTTGCAGTGAAGCATTTCAGTTACTTACTACAGGGCCGGCATTTCACTATTTTTACTGACCACAAGCCCCTGTGTCATGCTTTCACTACTTCACTCGATAAACACTCCCCTAGAGAAGCCAGACAGTTGGATTATATCTCCCAATTTTCAACCGACATCCAGTACATCAAAGGGGATGCGAACGTGGTAGCCGATTCTCTTTCAAGAAGTGACATTAACCAGCTCCAAACGTCGGTAGACATCAGTCTTGATCGTATGGCTCAATTACAAAGAGATGACGTTGAACTCCAAACCTGCCGCAGAAACTCTTCCTTACAGCTCAAAGATGTGCCTATCCCCTTATCAGATGCAACCATAGTCTGCGATGTATCTACCGGCACTAATCGTCCATTTGTCCCTCTCAGTTGCCGAAAAGCATTGTTCGAACATTTACATTCGCTTTCTCACCCTGGAGTACGCGCCACGGTCAGACTGATCAGCGAACGCTTCGTGTGGCCTAAAATGAACTCTGACATTCGGAGATGGGCACGAGAATGTATCCAATGCCAATGCTCCAAAGTACACCGCCACACTATTACAACCCCGAAGACGTTTGAATTACCCGAAAGGAGATTTCAGCATATCCATATAGATATCGTGGGACCATTGCCAACATCAAGGGGATATACACATATCCTGACAGCGATTGATAGATTTACTCGTTGGGCTATTGCATGCCCCTTAAACGACATATCTGCTGAAAACGTTGCTTTAGTTTTTCTCGACCGTTGGGTGTCAAACTACGGTGTACCAACTACTATTACATCCGACCGCGGTCCTCAATTCCAATCGACACTCTTTCGCGAACTGACGAGACTTCTGGGAGTGAAACATATCTCCACAACAGCCTATCATCCGGCAGCGAATGGTCTAGTGGAAAGATTCCACAGACAACTGAAAAGCTCCCTGATGGCGCAGAATGATACATCTAAGTGGAGTGAATACTTACCTTTGATTTTACTTGGTATCCGATCTACTATCAAAGAAGATTTAGGATGTACACCGGCTCAACTTGTCTATGGCACCAACCTAACCTTGCCTGGACAGCTAGTCCCCTCAGCCGATTCCACAGACGTGAACATTGCCGACTTCACTAACCGATTAACTAGACAAATGCTTCAACTTCAACCAACAGCACCTCGACAATCTCCCCGACGAGATCAGATCAACAAACATCTACAAACTTGCAAATTCGTCTTCATTCGAGTCGACGCCATCAGAAAAGGATTGCAACCTCCATACGAAGGACCCTTTCAAGTTATTAAACGTTCAGACAAACACTTTACAGTGAACAAGAATGGAAAACGAGAGACTATTTCCATTGATCGAATCAAACCCGCATACACCGACAACGACTTCGAATCTACATCGGCAACTGCGCAATCAAATAATCAAACATCCGATTCCACTCCACCGGCACCAAGTCTTATCCTCCCTCCATATCAAACACGTAGTGGTCGGCAAATCAGTAAACCGGCTCGCTACGTTCATTTTGAGGACTAACAAAAGAAAAATAATTAAAAATTATTATTATCTTTTTCGTTTAGACATTATCATCATGACCGTTAGTATTTCGTCGTAAACTTTGATGTTACTATCACTATTATTTATTTATATGTACCTCACCTAAAAAACAGGTATTGTCCTTTTCAAAAACTATTGATCTTTAATCCATATTTTTTTTAATGTTTCTTTCCCCTCCTTAATTACTGTGTATTTACATATTTTTCTTTATACATTAAAAATCTATGTTCATGGTTAGTGCAAATTTAAGTGACATGACTTTCTATTTCAATTTTTATTGCTGAACTAATTGTATATGCTTTCAGACTTTACATGATTCACATACCTTCTCGCGTTTATGCATGTTGTAATATATCCCTATTTTTATCCAAAAATTGTAATTACTATTATTATTTACTTCACAGTTTTACTTATCATTTTCCGGTGGTCTCTCCGGACCTCTAGTGGGGGAGCCGTGTGGAGTACGTAACAATGTGATTGTACACATTTTGTTTATATGAAGAAATTATAGATATTGTACATAATTTTTGTTTCAAACGCTTCTTGTGGAAATATAGATAACTTCCGTGTACAATTGAGAACATACACATACATAAACAAACATATATATATGTATATATATGTATGTGGACCTTTTTCTCCCTTAGCTTAGTTATCCAAAATCAAATAGAAAATAAAGTACCAAATCAGTTTAGTTACGGGAAGAATGTATTAAAGTTTAGTTACTTGGCTTTACAAATATCCAAAGTCCACAATAAACGTAATAGACTCCAGGTTCTGCAGGAAGGCTGCTCCAGTTCTAATTCTCCAATGTTGACGTTTCCGGAGGTCGACCAAAGTACGTAGGAAGAACTACGGTGCTCCTGCAAACATTTCAGATAGAAAGCAGGCGAATAAAATTGATCGACGGCAGTTGGGATGGTGGAGAAGACGGAGAGTCGAAGGCAGAATTATATATTTACCCAAAACCCGAAGTAAAGTTCAAAGTACAGAGTTTATGGTTAAAACAAAGTAATGTACAATATGTTCATTTCTTATATAGTAGTAAAATTTGGATAAGTTTATTTTTGAGGACTCCACAGGGCTTCGCCTCTTAGAGGTCCGGAGGACCATCAGTACTGTCCTCGTGGACGATTACATGAATGTAAGCAATATAAATAAGGGACAATGTCAACAATAAGGATAACAAAAAATAACAACAACAACAACAATAAGGATACAAAGTTGGATCAGGATGTATGGAATGCATCCGTGTCGTATAAAGTTTAGCACATACAAGCACATACAGGAATTTAAAAAAAATCAAAACTTGTTATAATTTTAAATAAAAAATTTATGTACATAATAAACCATGACATGTTTGTTAACATTTGTGAAATTCATATATAAATATATATATACATATACTTGGTGAATGCGTGTGCTTGCAGTACAGTTAACGAACAGCAAACAATAATACTAATAAATATTTATGGTTATAATGAAATGAATGTCAACAACAATAGTAATGAGAAGTATGTCTAAATGAGGTTAACGTACTTTTTTTATGTCAGTCAATAAAATGAACATAGCGGGCAGGTTTACAGATCTGCCGTCCACTGCGTGTTTGTACAGGGGGAAGTGTGAATAGCGGGAGAGTTGGAGTTGCATTGACTTTTTGATTGTTTATTGGTGCCGGCGTTGGTAGTGTTTCATATTCGCTGTCGGTGTACGCTGGTTTAAGACGACCGATAGAAACAGTCTCCGGTTTACCATGTTTGTTCAGCGTGAAGTATTTATCGGTGCGTTTAAGTACTAGAAAAGGACCTTCATATGGATGTTGTAAACCTTTTCTAATGGCATCGACGCGAACAAATACAAATTTGCTAGTGAGTAGACTCTTGTTAACTTGAGCTTTGTGAAGTGATTGGCGAGGGGCTACTGGTCGAAGCTGGAGCATTTGCTGGGTAAGGCGGTTGGTGAAGTCGGAGATATTTACTTCAGTTGAATCATTAGACGGAACTAACTGACCAGGCAATGTGAGGGTAGTACCATACACAAGTTGAGCTGGTGTACATCCCAAATCTTCTTTTACAGTTGATCGGATACTGAGAAGAACTAATGGTAGGTGTTCACTCCACTTAGATGAGTCAGCTTGTGCCATAAGGGAGCTTTTCAGTTGTCGATGGAAACGTTCCACCAGACCATTCGCTGCAGGGTGATAAGCTGTAGTGGAGATATGGTACACTCCAAGGAGTCTCGTAAACTCTCGAAACAGAGTTGATTGAAATTGAGCTCCTCGGTCTGTTGTAATAGTTGTGGGTACTCCGTAGTTTGACACCCAACGATCTAAGAAAACCAAAGCGATATTTTCTGCAGATATATCGTTGAGTGGACAAGCAATAGCCCATCGGGTAAATCGATCAATCGCAGTAAGTATATGAGTAAATCCTCTGGATGGCGGTAATGGTCCAACAATATCTATATGAACGTGTTGAAATCGTTTATCCGGTAAATTGAACTGTTTTGGAGGTGTGACGGTATGATGATGTACCTTGGATCTTTGACATTGCAAGCATTGGCGGGCCCATTTCCGAATATCGGAGTTCATCTTGGGCCAAACAAAACGCTCGCTGATCAACTTGACCGTAGCACGCACTCCAGGATGAGACAATGAATGTAGATGTTCAAACAAAGGTTTTCGACAACTTAGTGGAACAAAAGGTCTATGAACGCCCGTTGAAACGTCGCAGACGATAGTTGTATCAGACAGGGGAATAGGTACATCCTGCAACTGTAGGGAGGAGTTTCGTCTACAAGTATGGAGTTCGGCGTCATTTTTCTGCAGCTTGGCAATATTGTCTAAGCTAATATCTATCGAAGATAGGTGATTAACGTCACATCGAGACAAGGAATCGGCTACGATATTGGAATCTCCTTTGATGAACTGGATGTCTGTTGAGAATTGTGAGATGTAATCCAGTTGTCTGGCTTCTCTCGGAGAGTGTCTGTCCAACGAAGTGGTGAAAGCATAACAAAGAGGCTTATGGTCGGTTAAGATAGTAAAATGTCGACTTTGTAGTAAGAAGCTGAAATGTTTCACTGCTAGGTAGATGGCTAACAGTTCTCTGCCGAAAGTGCTGTAACGAGTTTGCGCAGGTTCCAATTTCTTGGAGAAGAAAGCAAGTGGAGTGATGTCATTATTGAACTTTTGTTGTAAAACTGCTCCCACTGCTACCTGCGATGCATCTGTACATAAAATGAGTGAAGCTTCTGGGTTGATGTGAGATAACATTACTACGTTGGATAAGGCATCTTTTGCATTATTAAATGCTGCTTCTGCTTCTTCAGACCACTGAAATTTCTTCGAATTGCATCTAAGTAGGTCGGTCAGTGGCTGAACTATGGGGGCACATGATGGAATAAAACGTCGGTAGAAGTTGAACATCCCGAGAAAACGTCTAAGTTTCTTTAAGGAATCAGGTTCGGGAAAGTTCTTAATAGTTTTTATCTTATCTTCGGTAGGTCTGATGCCTTCGGCAGTTATTCGATGTCCTAAAAATTCAATGGAAGGGGAACCAAAAATACATTTCTTTGGATTGATAACAACTCCAAATTGTTCAAACCTTTGAAATAACAGGCTTAAGTGTTGCATATGTTCTTCCATCGATGAGCTGGCTACTAAGACATCGTCGATATATACAAAGACGAAATCAAGACTTTGGGTAACTTGGTCCATAAAACGCTGAAATGTTTGAGCAGCATTCTTTAGTCCGAAAGGCATTCTCAAGAATTCGAATAATCCAAAAGGCGTGATAATTGCTGTTTTTGCAATGTCTTCCGGAGCGACTGGTATTTGATGATATGCCCTGACCAAGTCAACTTTAGTAAAAATGGTCTTTCCATGTAAGGTCAAGGAGAACTCGTGGAGATGAGGTATTGGATAACGGTCTGGGACCGTAGCGTTATTCAAAGCGCGATAATCTCCACATGGTCGCCAGTCGTGATTAGTTTTAGGTACCATATGCAAAGGTGAAGACCATGGACTGTTAGATGGTCGTATGATGCCTAGCTGCATCATATGTTCGAATTCCGACTTAGTTGCTGCCAGTTTATCGGGTGGTAACCGTCGTGGACGTGCCTTCACAGGTTGTCCTGCTGTGATGATCTTATGCGTAACTGTATGAGATATATCTTCGACGTTATATGACGGTTTAAGGATTTTAGGAAATCGTTGCAATAAAGCAGAGAACATTTCACTCTCCGGCTTTTCTATGCAAATACTATGAACAGAGTAGTCACATGTAATGCCGTGGATCTTGAGTTGGGTGCAATTGTCAACCAGTTTTTTCTTGCTGATATCAACTAACAGATTGAAGTGACTTAGGAAGTCTGCACCTAGTATAGCATGACGTACGTCAGCTACTATGAAGATCCATGTGAAACGTCGGCGTAGTCCTAAGTTTAAAATCATGGGATGGTGGAGAAGACGGAGAGTCGAAGGCAGAACTATATATTTATTCAAAACCCGAGGTAAAGTTCAAAGTACAGAGTCTATGGTTAAAACAAAGTGATGTACAATATGTTCATTTCTTATATAGTAGTAAAATTTGGATAAGTTTATATTTGAGGATTCCACAGTTTTCGGTGTGGAGAGAGGGAGAGATAGGAGGAAGCTTAATGATGACATGGAGGAGAGTTGTCAAGATCTGAGTGTGGTGGAGTGAAGTGGTGAAAAAGGCCGCCCGACGTAGCGGACGATTGATTCCTCCGCAGAGTCGTCAACAGGTTCCCTATCCAACCTTGTGCAGAGGACTTCCAACCATCTCTCCATTTCTCACGCCACACACTACACACTTACAACATAATTCTCATTCCACTCACACTCACACACACACACATTTGCATATCTCGACGAAGTACTCCTCCTCTTGTACTTTCTTCTCTTGCTTCGCGTGCTACACGGAATGTGGCGACTTGAACTTCCGCACATTTGTGCAAAGTTCTATGTCGAAAACAGACAGACAGACTCCTCACGAGACACACACTCACACACACACACACACACCACGCATAAAACACCCTCACACATCAAATGAACAGCAATCAAAATACTCGAATCACAGTTCTCAAGACCTGTGCTCTGCAATCCGTTGAGATCACCGCATGTTTATAAGAAGTATATCCTGATCCCGCACAAAATCTCCCCTCTCCCATAAAATTATCTAACCAACTACTCCCAAACATTTCACTGGCACAACGCAACCGACTAAAAACACTACGACCACGAACATGACCGCGATTATTACTACCACTACCACTACCACTTCCAGTACCACTAGCAATGGCACTATCAATACCAATACAAATACAAATACCCATACCAATATCCATACCAATAGCACTACTGGTTATATCAATTACACTACTAGTTTCCACCTGCTTCTCTCAAGCTTATCTAGCCTTGTCCCAATGTTTATTATCAGCTGACCTGACTACTATCGTTTTGTCTGGAAAATGTGAGTAAATGTCCTGTTAGCCGACTGACAGTTTGCATGGTGTGAACACTGACTGGCTTTGTGATTCACGTTATCTCTTAGGTTATCTGGTAATTTTGAGGATTTCGATTTCGACTACAATGACTAGGAGAGCTTTTCCCCGAGTATGTTTTCCAGGTTAGCTGAGTCTGGCTTTCTTGTGTGGTCTGAGTGAGAGGAGCTGACTAGCTTCTGACGGAAATGTTCGCCTGTGCATTCCTACAGGCGAAGAAGGAGGCTAATTTTCACGTGAACACCCGGAAGGCATAACAGTGATGAAGACAATGTGAATCTGATAAGTCACCCGACACTATAAACAGGACAAAGGATTTCTTCTCACTCCCAATCGACACCATGTAGAAATTCCACTTTGCTGATGACTGACACTCAGCGTTTCGCAATATGCTCGACTGATTGTGGTATCAGGTTTTCACACAACTGAATCTTCTTGATGTGTGAGAATGAGTGAGTGAAAGTGTTGTGATATTGTTTTTGGTTTGCGTTGTTAGTGATGTGTGACATTGATCGGTGTTTCGCTAGGTGTGTTTCGTGTTCACATGTGCTAGCTAGCGTGGCTTCACAGTGAGTGTGAGATTGTTGGCTGAAGTGGGTTGGTTCGGATGTATGCATCCAGCACAGAGAGTGAGTGTGTAGTCGTAAATTTCGGATGTGGCGAAAATGCAGAGAGAAAGGTAGCGAGCCATTAATATATCTACATATATGTATCTGTATATTTATATACATATATATATATATATATATATATATATATATATATATATATATATATATACATATATATATGCATATATGTTATACATATATAGATTTAGATATATAAATGGCACGCTCCCTATCTCTCTGCATATTCGCCACATCCGAAATTTACGACTACACACCCGCTCTCTGTGCTGGATCCACACCCAAAACTGTGGAATCCTCAAATATAAACTTATCCAAATTTTACTACTATATAAGAAATGAACATATTGTACATCACTTTGTTTTAACCATAGACTCTGTACTTTGAACTTTACCTCGGGTTTTGAATAAATATATAGTTCTGCCTTCGACTCTCCGTCTTCTCCACCATCCCAACTGCCGTCGATCAATTTTATTCGCCTGCTTTCTATCTGAAATGTTTGCAGGAGCACCGTAGTTCTTCCTACGTACTTTGGTCGACCTCCGGAAACGTCAACATTGGAGAATTAGAACTGGAGCAGCCTTCCTGCAGAACCTGGAGTCTATTACGTTTATTGTGGACTTTGGATATTTGTAAAGCCAAGTAACTAAACTTTAATGCATTCTTCCCGTAACTAAACTGATTTGGTACCTTATTTTCTATTTGAATTTGGGTAACTGAGCTAACCGATTGAAAGGTCCACCACAATAATTGGTAAGCCCGTTTCGAACCTTTTTGTTTCGATAGTTAACTCGTTTTGAACATTTTTGTTGCTATTTTGGCTTTATAAACTCACATTGCTTTAGTTTTTGTTACCACAAGTTTTCCTATTTTGTATATCTCTATACTTAAATATTTTTTTTGACAATGGCTACATATAAACGTACCACTATTCCCGAAGAACTTCATAAAGGCGAAGTGACACAGAACTCTCCTGTTACCGCCTTGCCGGATTCCACATCTATGAAGGACGCACCACTGTTTTGGTTACTTTC